AATGTGAGAGAGATGGAGTTTGGGTTTTAGAAAGAGATGGAGTTTTAGAGAGAGATGGAGTTTTAGAGAGAAAGAGACAGAGTCATTTTATAAGTTGTTGAGGTCAATAATACATGGTCAAAAGAGTTTAAGGGTCGAAAAATAGAACAGATAGAGTCTTTTTGCGTACAAGTAATATTTTTTATTCTTGAACCTGATAAGATATAGAAGTTAAAAATAGAAAATAATAAGATATTTTCCCAATATATTATACACTCAAAATCGGCCTTAACCTGCAATTCTGATCTAATCAGCTGATTTTCTAACACTAATTGAGACGTGTGGGGCTTAAAAAAGGCAAAATGAATGGGCTACGAAAGTACGTCGTACATTTCAGCTTCTATCCTTTCAATCTCTCCATCTCATACCCAATGAGATCAAAGTGCGAGAAAATAAAGGGGTGATATTATATGGGAAAAAATTCATATAAGACATCTTACATTATAGAATTAAGGTGCACTTTCCTTCTTGCAACATATTTTCTAGACAATCCATTTTGAAGATTTCTATGTATTTATAGATCGACATGATTTGAATCATTTTTAAAGGTTAAAATTTTATTATCAGTAATGAAAATAGATTTTTGGGCCATCCTAAAATTTTCAACTCCAAAATTACATCTTATGACATAGTTTGGAGGGATGTCTTACTTTACTTGTTTAAGGTTACAATTTATGTATTCCTTGACTTATTATACAAGGGATTATATACTATGAGACTATTTATCTTTAGCATAAGGAGGTCACAATTAATCATAACCATTAGATATGTAATTGGATGGCTTGAGGTGTGTCATGAAGTTCAAGAAATTTTTTGTTAGACTTTGGGTATATCATAAGTATATTTATAACCATTTAATTTGAAATTTGATATACAAGAATGACAGTGACCTCTTTGTACTAAAAGTAAATAGTTTCTATATTCAAAAAAAGTAAATGGTCTCCTTGAATACTTTTCCATTATATAAGGATGTAGTTTCCATTACATAAGGATGTAGGTTGCAACATTGAACAACCAAAGTAAGGGGTACCTCCGAATTTTGTTATGAGATACAATTTTGGCATTAAAATTTTTTAAGATGGTGTAAGAAACTATTTTTAAATCTGATTATAAAATTTTAAACTCCAAAACCAGTTCGAATCAAGTAAATCTATAACTATATGAAAACCTTGAAAATAGATGGTTCAGATAATATGTTGCAAGATGTATTATTTTTTGGACTTAAAATCTTTTTTTTTTCTCCATATATATTCATCTTGATGCTGAGATGATCAACTAAATGTTTTTCCAACATCAAAACAATCTTTTTTGAAGAATTTTGGAGGTACACCTTAATTTTACATTTTAAGATGTCAACCTCCTAAATTTTCCATATCAAGGGTCGAAACCTCTTATAAAATTATTAAGAGGGTTGAAAGATCTTAACTGATATTAATAGGTTTACTTTAAAATTTTCAATTCAATCGGGTACCTCAAATAAACCAAAAGCGTTTTAGTAATTTGACATACCCTTTCCAAGTAGTGCAAGTTCCCGTCCTTTAGTTGGGGCTTCTTAGGCAGGTCATATTATTGAAGGATAAAGTTTATATAGATCCGAGGTTCTAAACAATCAAATTAAAGCCTACATCAAACTTTTCATTAAAAAAGGTTGTTTTGGTCCCAATTATCCTCAAGTTGATTATCTCGATATCAAGATGCATGAATATGAGAAAAAATAGATCTCAAATTTTGAAAATAGTTCGTCTTTGACCGTCAATTTTCAATATTTCCAAGTTTTTATAGATCTGTCGATCTACACTATCTTTTAAACTTTAAACTTTATAAATAAAGATGAAAATATATTTTAAGACTATCACAAAGATTTTCAGTATTGAAACCACATTTCTCGATACTATTTTAAGGTAGGCTCTAATTTGGTTGTTTAGAGCCTCGGCACTATACAAACCGATGCCGGTGTTTGTTCAAATTTTGCAATCCCAATTGGGGACGATTTGGATATTTTTAATTATTTAATTATAAATTTGAAAAAATACCCAAGTGGAATGAAAAATTAAAAGTTAAGTATTTAATGTTGATTGAGATGTTTTTTGAATCACTTGCTGATTTTGTAAAAGGTTATATCCACTTAAATGACATTCTCCCTAAAATAAAGTACGTTATCGAGGAGGAGGATTACCACTTCATACTTTTAGCAATTTCATACATACACGATGAGATGCCAGTGTAAATTTCATACTCGCAATTCACGATATGAGAGAAAATTCCATACACGCAATTCACGATATGAGAGAGAGAGAGAGAGAGTTAACCCCATTCGAGATAGAGGGAGATTCCCTAATTTGAACCCCAAACACATACAGTATTTAAAAAAAAAAATTTGTTGGGAAAGTTTTTTATAGTTCTTCTACTATATAGAAGTTATGTATTTCTTTTTATCTAGCCGTTTGATCTAAATAGATAACTGAGATGGACCAGCCATCTGATTTGAACAGATGGCTGAGATGGACCCAATCACAATGTGATGCCTCTACACTGTTTTTATTTTAATTTTTTTTCTACAAAATATTTTGACTCCAAATTTTACGCATCCACTCATCTCTTGAACTAGCAACTTCAGGGGTATTTTGGTTATTTTATTTTGTCAAAAATATTTGTTATTACTGATTTAATTGCCCCATTGAGATGATTTCATGTATCGAAATTTATATTTATATAATTTGTATAAAAAATTAAAAATAAAATAATTTAAGACGTTGAATCTAAATCAAATAGCCAGTTGCTCACTTGATCTAAATTGAACATATGGATGGGTGAAATATATAACTTGTATATAATAGAGGAAATACAAAAGGGTGCAGTTAGCATACAGATGCATTCGTAGCTACAGAGGTAGGGTGCACCTTCAAATTTTATCATGGTATGCAATTTTAATGTAAAATGTCTTAGGATTGTCTCAAAATCTATTTTTATATCTAATTATAAAATTTTAAATTTAAAAAATGGTTAAAATCAAGTAGATCTATAAATATATGAAAATCTTGAAAATGGACGGTGTAGATAATATGTTGTAAAATGCACTATTTTTTAAACTTAAAATCTTTTTATTTTTCATGGTCATACATCTTGATGTCGAGATGATCAATCAAAAGGTTTTTCAACATTAAAACTATCTTTTTCCGATGGATTTTTGAGATGCATCCGTAGTTCTACATTATAAGGTTGCATCCTTATATAAACTTTTTCCGATACACAAAGCTTTCCCTGTATTAACCCCATTTGAGAGAGAGAGATATGAAAAGTTGAAACATGGGCTGAACCTTTATATACGGCTAAACTTAGGAAGACCCAAATTCCCATTCTTGACTTTAGATTCAAAGGGTCCTACACCGTTGTAATTATGGAATTTAAATTTGTCCGTTAAATCACGAACTTTGGAATTTTCAATACCTAAATGCATTTACCCCCAAAAATTCAAATTTGGATGATAATAATAGTCAAAGACAAAATCCAAATATAAGGATCCAAATGTTCAAGGGGACCCTCAACATTGGGACACATGATCGAAGGCAGGAAATCGGTTTTATTTTGATAACATGACAGTTCTATCATGGGTATTATCAACGTTTCGGATCTGAATCAGTCATGGACTGTCCTGATTCATCATCATCATCATTATTTGAGTCTTATCTCAATTATATGGGGTCAGCTATGGACTATTCTAATTCTTTTGAATCAGCTCGACTTTATAACCCAAAAGCAAGAGAATTTGATCTTAGTCTTGTTTTTTCACCTAATTATATCAAATTTATAATAAAATTTTCCACTCTACAAAAACTTTGACAAAACTTTTTGCATCCAAACCAAAAATTTCTAAAGTCTCAAGATTTGGGGTTTTAGCCCTAGAGATGCAAGCCAACCTGGGCCAAGCTAGCCTAGATCGTTGCTAGCCCTAATTTTGAGGTGTTTCAACCTGGAATCGCTCGGCGTTTGTTAGCCTGGGAGACTCGGGTTGTTCTGGGATTTAATTTGACGATTTTCTAAACACTGGTTAATATGATTAAAGGAACCGAGTCACTCGGTGTTTGCGCAACTCCGGCTCATCTAATTCACTCTATTGTGGAATAACATGATCTTGATGGTCACCAGGTGCGATCCCCGATCATCTAACGGTCCAGATCATCCCAACCATGTAATTGCGATCCAAACAAGTTGGGCTCATCTGAACCCTTTCCTACCCTTGTTGTTGGGCTTGGGGCTTAGGATGCAAAGGGGTCATATCTGAAAGAAAAAGGCATGAGTTATTTTCATAGACTTTTTTTTTTTTTTTTTCCAATTCATGTATAAATAATAATATTTTTGACAATGTTATAAATAAATAATATTGATGGAGATAACAAGAGACGTCTGAGTCACGCATAGTTTTATCTCAGATGATAACGAAATAATCAATAAAATTTTAAATAAATAAATAGTGGTTAACCTAACCATAATATTTAGATGCCTTAGTCTCATGCAAATTTGAAAGTCTTTTTTGTAATTTACCAACTGGAAGGGAAGAATAACTACGCCCCATATCTATTGGAAACTACCAAAATAAAGCAAAAAAATTTCACCAATTTAGAAAAATAGCTCCCCCAAAATAAAGAAATTACTAAAATTTCCACTCTTTAAGAATTCAGCCTACTTCTAAAAATAGAAACTGGCCCTTGATACCTTGCCAAAAAATTTATTAACAAAAAAAAAGCAAAATTTATATTACAATATTAATTTTTCTTTTTTTATTTATATGGACATGAGGGTGTTTATATTTGCTGTTATTAATAATTAAGAGAGAGAAATAAAAAAGTGTATGCGTAGTTTCTATGAAACGAGAAGAGCTCGTCAAATCCCAACCCACCAATCAACCTAGATTTTCAAACTATGAGGGGAGAGAGTAAGATGGTCCCACACTTCACCAATTCAGCAGTCCACCTAAGACTTCTCTCCATATATGTTCTCTATTGCACTTTCTTCCCGATTCATCTCTGTCTCTAACCATCAGCTATGAATTGGTGGCTTCAAATATTGGCCACCATAACTATAAGCCTGCTATTATCATCCCCATCTTCTTCCCATCCTCTCTCTCAAGATTTTTCCTCAATCCCTGAACCTCCTTTTGATCCCTCTAATACATGGGGAGGTTTCTCTCAATTCCAAGATGCTCCCCTAGGTTCCAACATAACTGGCATGGTGGAATTGAAGAAGTACTTTCAGCGATTCGGGTACCTTCTAAACCCTCCGAATTCATCGGAAACCCTGACCGATTGCTTCGATGAGGAGTTCGAGTCGGCTGTTCGGACGTATCAGGCCAGGCTCAGTCTATCGGTCACGGGACGGCTCGACCCCGATACCCTGGCCCAAGTCATGACCCCTAGGTGTGGCATGCCTGACAAAGGCCTTGGTGGCCCCTTCCATGAAGTTGGACACTATGCCTTTTTTCCTGGGGTGCCCAAGTGGCCTAGAGGGAAGAAAGCCCTAACTTATGGGATCTCACCCACCAACATGGTGAACTATTTGGACATGGAAGATGTTAGGATGGCCCTTTCTAGGGCTTTTGATAGGTGGTCCAACGTGATCCCACTAAATTTTACTGAAACACAGGACTACTATGGAGCTGACATAAAAATAGGGTTTTTTAGTGGGGATCATGGGGATGGTCAGCCCTTCGATGGGGTTCTAGGCATATTGGCCCATGCCTTCTCTCCAAGCAATGGGAATTTTCACTTGGATGCATCAGAGACTTGGTCCACTGATTTTGGGGTGCAAAAGTCTAGGGTTGCCATTGATTTGGAGTCAGTGGCCACACATGAGATAGGACACTTGCTAGGTCTAGGGCACTCTAAAGAGAAAGAGGCAATTATGTATCCTAGTCTCTCACCCAGGACTAAAAAGATGGAATTGAGGTCTGATGATATTATTGGGGTGCAATCCCTTTATGGGTCTAACCCTAATTTTGACCCTAACTTATTGACACAATCTGATTTGTTATCAAACCTTGGGGGTGAGGGAATTAGGGGAACATGGAGTGTGTTGCTTGTGCTAGGGTTGGGGTTTCTCATTTGTTGCTTGTGATTGTTAACTTTCTTCCCTCTTTTGTAATTCTTTGCTTTTGGGGGAGGGAGAGTCATTGATTCTTGATGTACTATACATTCTTTACTGTATATTATATGAATATTTATGGTATGGTTGGGTTGGTTACACCTCCAAGGGAAGGATGTACCATGACTTCTTTTTTTTTTTTGTCAATATGTTAGTTATTGGTCAGTTGATTAGAGAGAAAAAGAAAGGATTAGAGAGAGAGTCCTGTCATTTCTTTATTTTCTTCACCCTTTAAATTCTTTTTAGTAACTATGATTCATTCTTGTAAATATCAATATTGATGGTTGGATTGGATACTTAAGATGGTTAGTTATTGGTTGTTTAGAGAGAGATTTTGCCATTTCCTCATCTTCAAGAAAGAGTTCCTCTTGATTAGTTATCAGTTGGTAGGGTAGAGAGAGAGAGGTGTCCATTTCCTCGTTTTCTTCAAGAGAGAGAAACATTGTGGAATTATTAGTTGGTAGGGGGGAGGAGAGAGAAAGAGATTTTGCCGTTTCCTGGTTTTCTCTTCTTCCTTTTAGTCTTAAAACGTGTTGTATGGGCAAGGGACTGTTTCTTCATTCACTTAGCAGCAGTTTCATACCTCTCTTGAAACGTTTCTCTCTCTCTCTTAAGGCTTAAATAAAAATAAATGGTTGGTTTGGAGAAGTCAAGAAGCTTTCATTTGAGTGGGAAATTGCGTGTCTTAGCCATTTTAGAGAGAGAGAGAGAGAGAGTTTTCCTGGTGAGAGAACTCACGCAACAAACCAAAAAATCAATGTTTTCTTGACAATTGATCCTCACCACAAAGCCACCATCACCAACATAGGTTGTGTATAAATATCATTTTTTTAAGTAAATAGGAAGATGTAGTTTGCTCTTGCAAAGAAGGAAATTCAAGTCTCATTGCTCCCCTTTACCTTTTTCTTTTTGTGGTACACAAAAGCAATAATCAAAAGTTCAAACTTTAAAGCATCGCTATCAAGAGATTCAAGACCAAAACAAACCGGGGTTGGATTTCCGACAAGTGCCTTACTGGTCGAGAGTAAAAATTGGGTTTTGTAATACCGGGTAAAACTTATATTTGATTGTTTTTTACTGTCTTGTTAGTACGGATTTTGTATGTTTCAAGTCTTAAAATCGGATTTGTGACCCAGAAAGAGAGAGAGAGATGTTCATGGAAGCGTAGAAGCAAGAGAGAGAGTTAATGGAAATGTAGATATATAATAAAAGATGTCTAACTTAGAAGTAGAGGTTGGAGAAAACAAGCTAGTAAACAATATCCTGTAACTGAAGATTGCAGGAGAAAATGACACCATAAAAGTATGAATCCCACATCGCTAATAAAAAAGTGTTGCCCACAAGGTAAGGGTGACCATAGGTAGCCTATTGTTGCTCATGAGGTAAACATGATGATTGGTGCTTATGTAAGTGAAGTTGGGGGGCTCCATCACAATATTTTTTATTGACAAATGTTTAAAAACTATGGTTCATTAAAAAGGTTCTCAAAAAACAAATGTTTAAAAACTATGGTTCATTAAAAAGGTTCTCTCTCCACCTCCGTGGCAAAAAAATCAGTGGACCGGTTCAAACCGGCCGGTTCTAAGGGACACGATCTACAAACGGTGACCTTGATACCCAAGTGTAAGGGTGACGATTGGTAGCCTATTGTTGCTCATGAAATAAACTTGACTTAGGTGCTTATCTAAGTCAAGTTGGAGGGCTCCACCACAATACTTTTTATTGAACAAAATGCTCTTTCTCCTGTTATGTGGCAAAGAATTGGTGGACCGGCTCAAACTGGCCGGTCTGAAAATGAAGACGTTGATACCCAGCCTAAAACGGACGATTCCGATCCGGATCAATAATTTTTCAAATCTTAATAAATTCATTTAAATCATTTCCAAAAATTAAAAAGGCGCAATTTCTTTTAGGCTGAGGCTGTAAACCGTCAAAATAAAGTGTGCCTTCAAATAGTATTGAAAGATATTGTTTCAATATTGGATATATTTGTGATGGACTGAAAATTTATTTTTATGTCTAATTATAAAATTTAAAGTTTAAAAAATAGTGTAAATCAAGCAGATCTATAAATATTTGAAAATTTTAAAAATTGACGGTCCAAAAATACAATACAAGATTCACTATTTCCAATACTTGAAATCCATTTTTTTGTCATGTCCATACATCTTGAGGTTCAGATGATCGATTTGAGGAATTTTACACTTCTTCTAACGAATTTTTAAAGTGCACTTTATTTTAATTGTCTAGAGCCTCGCATTTATATAAACTTTTTCTAAATAAAAATCATAGGAGAAATAAATCGTCTTGTGTATCCTCCTATTCTTTGTGGTTCTAAAGCAAATGGTATGATTACTTTTACGGTACACCTCGTGTCCATGAAAAGGTTGAACAGTGATTTGAAAGTCATCGACTTAACTCCGAATCGTCCGAGTTGGTCTGGAATGGGGAACTGAGCGATTCCGATATGAAAAACCTCTCTGGTTTTCCCAAAATCATCTGGTTTTCCCAAAATCATTTTTACATTTTTATTAAAAATTGTCTAACCTGACTCATGCTCCTCGAGTCGAAGTTAGATCAAAGGAAATTACGGCTCGTTTGGATCTTAAGGTAAACAAAACCATGTTTTGGATCATAACATGGTTGTGCAAACCATGGTTATGCTAAAACCTGGTTATTGAGAAATGATTGTTCGTATAGATTGTAGATAATATCCAAGTTATAAAAAATCCCTAGTTTGGGTCATCTATTTGCGTAACTTGAGTTTACACTATTTAGGACACACTTGGTAGGTTTGAAACATTTTTGTACAAAATATTTTCATGTGAAAATTACATTACACATATTTGGTATGCAACAATACATATAAAAAAAATTCTCATTATAAAAATTTTTGCCAAAATTTTAGAGAGAGAAACTCCCTAAAAACTTTTAGAAAGAGAAACTATCTCAACATTTTTAGAGAGAAAACTGTCTTAAACTTTAAATTTGATATAGTGTCTCTCCAAATATTTTGAGATAGTTTCTCTCTCTAAACATTTGAAAATTCATATCGATAAAAATTTCTCTCTCTAAAAATTTTGATATAGTTTCTATCTCAAAAAATTGTAAGGTAGTTTCTCTTTCTAAAATTTGATATAGTTTCTCTCACTAAACTTTAAAATACTTTCCCTCTCTAAAACTTAAAATTTGATTAAACTTCTCTAAAAATTTTGAGATATTTTTAGGTAATTTCTCCCTCTGAAACTTGATATAGTTTCACTCTCCAAAATTTTAAGATACTTCCTGTCTAAAACTTGAAATTTGATATAATATCCCTCTCTAAAAAATTTGAGATAGTTCTCTCTCTAAAAGTTTCAGGTTGTTTCTCTCTCTAAAAAATTTAAGATAGTTACTCTCTAAAAGAAATTTAGGTAGTTACTCTCTCTAAATTTTATATAGTTTCTCTCTCTCAAGCTTAAAATTTGAGATAAGTTCCCTTTAAAATTTTTGATATAGTTTCTCTCTCTAAAATTCTGGTATTTTTTCTCCCTAAAGTTTTAAGATACTTTCTCTCTAGAACTTGAAATTTAAGATAGTTCTTCTCCCTAAAAAATTTTAGATAGTCTCTCTCTCAAAAATTTGATATACTATATATCTCTAAAATTTTAAGATACTTCCTTTTTTAAAAACTTGAATTTTTGAGACAGTTTCTCTCACTAAAAATTTTCAGATATTTCTCTCTCTAAAAAATTTTAGGTCGTTCCTTCCTTAAAAATTTGATATAGTTTCACTCTCTAAAAGTTTACAATACTTTCTCTCAAAAACTTAAAATTTGATGTAGTTTCTCTCTCTAAAACTTGAAATTTGAGATAGTTTCCCTCTCTACAAAATTTCATGTAATTTCTCTCTCTACAATATAATATATTTTCTCTCTCTAAAATTTTAAGATTTGTTTTTTCTCTAAAACTTGAAATTTAAGATAGTTTCTCTCTAAAAAATTTGGCTAGTTTCTCTCTCTAAAATTTGATATAGGTTTTCTCTTTTAAATTTTGAGATACTTTCTCTATCTAAAACTTAAAATTTGATATACTTTCTCTCTCTAAAATTTTTGAGATAGCTCATCTCTCTAAAAAAATTTAGTAGTTTCTCTCTCTAAAATTTGATATAGTTTCTCTTTTTAAAATTTAAAGATATTTTATCTCTCTAAAACTTAAAATTTGAGGCGATTTCTCTCTCTAATTTGTGTGGATAGTTTGGCATAAGTAATTGTACGTAATAAAGTGGACAGCTCTAGTGCCAAAGGTTGGTCAAACGCTATTGTGTATAGCAAAAGGGATGATTTTATGGGAAATATGGAAAGAAGTTATATTGTATAGCAAAAAGGATGATTTTATGAGAAATATGGAAAGAAAGAAACAGGTGGACTTTTGAAAGAATTTCTCTTTCCTTAGATTATTTGATTCAGTCAATCAAATTGTCTATCTCGTCGTGCCTATCCATTTCTAAAGAAGGCTGGGGTTTATCAAAGATTGATGTTTTGGCTAATTTGGGCAATCTCTTTCTTCTTGGTTCTTTAATAGCCGGCCAAAGTTAAACTGGGTAACCCCCTCTTCTGGTACCTTTAAGCTTAATTTTGATGGCAATTCCTTGGGCAATTCTGGAATAGCTGATATTGGTGGAGTGGTGAGGGATTGTTGTGGCAATACTCTCTTTTCCTTTGCAGGGCCAATCGGATGTGCAACTGCAAACTACGTTGAGATGTGTTCACTTTACCATGGTCTTCTGAAGATTTTCAGGGAACGAAATTGTGGGGAGATATGTTGGATTGAGGGGGGTTCTCTAAATGTCATTAAGTGGTGCAATAAGGGGCAACGATTTCTTTGGAACCTTCGTTCTCTGTGGTTACGCATTTTGGATCTGGCTGCTCCCCTCACAATTACCTTCTCACATGTTTACCGAGAAGCTAATTCGGTTGCTGATGAGTTGTCTAAGGGGGGCACTCTTTAACTTTCTCTTGTTAGATCTGATAATGCAATTTTCTTTTCGTAGAGCTAATAAAAGTAGTAACATTTGTCAAAAAAAAAAAAGCTG